GAATTTTTAATTTTTTCTTTAAATTGAGACTTTTGGCCAATATGGAGGCATAGGCAGACACACTGTGCCTCCTCCCACAACCAAAAGAAGAACAACAATCTAAAAACAAAAAACAACCAGAACTGACAGAAAATCAAACTCTATGGAAGTCTGACAATCAAGGACCTAAAGACACATTCATCCAGACTAATAGGAGGGACAGAGTCGGGCAGCCAGGGCAGAGAGGATTTGTGGCAAGGCAGTAGCTGGAAGACAGGGGTGTGAAAGGGGGAGGCTGGCAGACCCAGGGAGGTGGTGGATTGTGGACTGGGCAGTCCCACATTCACTTGAAGATAAACCAGGAGAAACAACTGGAGAGCGGGATGGACTGTGCAATCCACGGACCCCAGCACAGAGAAATAAAGCCTCAAACCACTGATTGAAAACACCTGTGGGGGTTGAGGTGCTGGGAGAAACTCCCAGCCTTATAGGAGAACTCTTTGGAGAAAGTCTAAAAGGCCAAATTGAAAGTTTAGAGACTTCTGGCCAAGATGGAGGCATAGGTAGATATACTTTGCCTCCTCACACAACTAGTAAAGGACAACACAAATTCTATTTTATTTATTTATTTATATTTTATTTATTTATTTTCAGAGAGAGGGGAAGGGAAGGAGAAAGAGAGAGAGAGAAACATCAATGTGTGGTTGCCTCTCATATGTCCCCCACTGGAAACTGGCCTGCAACCTAGGCATGTGCCCTGACTGGGAATCAAACCACAATCCTTTGCTTTACAGGCCCTCGCTCAATCCACTGAGCTACACCAGCCAGGGCAGGACAACACAAACTTTTTAAAAAACAACAAACCAGAACTGCTAGGAAATAAAACTGTATGGAAGTCTGACAACCAAGGAGTTAAAGAAGAAATGTTCATGTAGACTGGTAGGAAGGGCAGAGGAAGACAGCTGGGGTGGAGAGAACACATGGCAAAGGGGCTACTGGAGGACCAGTTGATCCCACATTTGCATGTGGATAAGCTGGGAGAAGCAACTGGGGAGCAAGACAGACCATGCAACCCTGGATTCCAGTACAGGGAAATAAAGACTTCAAACCTCTAGATATGAAAACCTGTGGAAGTTTTGGCAGCAGGATAAACTCCAGACCTCACAGGGGAGTTCACTGGAGACCCACAGGGTCCTAGAATGTACACAAACCCGCCCACCTGGGAACTAGCACCAGAAGGGCCCAATTTGCTTGTGGGTAGTGGGGGAAGTGACTGAAAGCTGGCTGAGCACTGAGCAAGTGGCATTGCTCCCTCTCTGACCCATCTCCCACATACAGCACTACAACACAGCAACCTAGTTTGCCCCACCCTGGCAAATACCTAAGGCTCTGCCGCTTACAACATAACAGGTGTGCTGAGACAAAGAAATATGGCCCAAATGAAAGAAGAGATCAAAACTCCAGAAAAATAACTAAGCAAATGAAGAGATAGCCAACCTATCAGATACACAGTTCAAAATACTGGTAGTCAGGATGCTTACAGAAATGGTTGAATATGGTCACAAAACAGAGGAAAAAATGAAGGCTATACAAATTGAAATAAAGAATAATATACAGGGAACCAACAGTGAAGGAAACTGGAACTCAAATCAACAGTTTGGAGCAGAAGGGAGAAATAAACATTCAGCCAAAACACAATGAAAAAACAAGAATTCAAAAAAAAATTAGGAGAGGCTTAGGAACCTCCGGGACAACTTCAAATGTTCCAACACACAAATCATAGGAGTGCCAGAAGAAGAGGAAGAGGAAGAAATTGAAAACTTATTTGAACAAATAATGGAGACCTTCCCTAATCTGGCAAAGGAAATAGACTTCCAGGAAGTCCAGAAAGCTCAGAGTCCCAAAGAAGCTGGACCCAAGGAAGCACACACCAAGGCACATCATAATTAAATTACCCAAGATTAAAGAGAAGGAGAGAATCTTAAAAGCAGCAAAAGAAAAGGAGACAGTTACCTGGAAAGGAGTTCCCAGAAGACTATCAGCTGACTTCTCAAAAGAAACCTTGCAGGCAAGAAGGGGCTGGAAATTCATATTCAAAGTCATGAAAAGCAAGGACCTACATCCAAGATTACTCTATCCAGCAAAGCTTTCATTTAGAATGGAAGGGCAGATAAAGTGCTTCCCAGATAAGGTCAAGTTGAAGGAGTTCATCATCACCAAGCCCTTATTATATGAAATATTAAAGAGACTTATCTAACAAAAAGATAAAAAATATGAACAGCAAAATGACAACAAACTCACAGCTATCAACAACTGAACCTAAAAAAAACAAAAACAAACTAAGCAAACAACTAGAACATGAGCATATTAACAGAAATAGAGATCACATGGATGGTTGTTAGTGGAGAGGGGGCAAGAGGAGAACGGGGGAAAAGTTACAGGGAATAAGAAGCATAAATGGTAGGTACGAAATAGACAAGGGGAGGTTAAGAATAGTATAGAAAATGGAGAAGCCAGAGAACGTATATGTATGACCCATGGACATGAACTATGTGGGTGGAGAATATTAGTGGGTAGGGGGGTGCAGGGCACAGGGGAATAAAGGGGAGAAAAAAATGAGACAAGTGTAATATCATAATCAATAAAATATACTTGAGAAAGTTTATACTTAGTAATTATATCCTACATTTTGTGGCACTCAATGTTTTCACATGTTTTTTATGCACAGGAGAAGCCTAACAGTTTAGTATTTATTATAACTGATTCATATGTAGTTTGAGCCATAGGAGTTAAAAGATTTTTCTCAGGGCCCAAAAAACAGGTAGCCAAAGGGAGTAGCTACAGATTGTTAAAGAGGAGAGAGGAGTCCCTGTTCAAAACAGTTCCTGAAGATGATCACTGGAGAGCTATGGTGGGTGTGCTGAAGTAGGGAGAAATCCAAAAGGCTCACGCATTAACCAGTAAGTTAGGGAGGAAGTAAGGTTGATCCTCATTATTTGCAGATTTTGTATTTGTGAATTCACATACTTGCTAAAATTTATTTGTAATCCCAAAATCAATGTTCGCAGTGTTTTCATGACCATTGAGAACATGCTCAAAGCAGTGAAAATTAAAGGATGAATAAAGCAACATGGTGCCTTTGTTCTCAGCTCTCACACTGTATAAACAAGTACCCTTTTCAAGGTCTATTAACTGCCATGATTTTACTTATTGCTGGTGACTTTACTGTTTAAAAATGGCCCCCAAACATAGTTCTGAGGTGCCTTTTGGAAGAAGTGTTAGATAAGCTTCACTATGGCATGATTTTAGTGCTGATGGCTGTGAATTCAATGAATCAGTGGTAGGTTGATGAAAATGTTACGACCATAGGCATATAGGAGCCTAGCCTTGTATTTGCCCCAGGCGTAATGATTCAGTGTTGGCTAATGCAGTGTTCATGGTGACTTTATAGAATATAACTACCATGAATAATGAGAATCAATTTATCAGTGCTAAGTCTTAGCTCTAGCCAAAGAAGTCAATCTGTTTCTTAAAAATCTAATGGAGTAGTGAGAACAAGAGCAAATGTCCATGCACTTTTAAAAAATCTGTTATGACTCTCACATACATTGCATAATGAGTATGTGTCAGAGAGTTTACTCAACCAATTAGTGAGGAAACCAGTCAGATATTAAAAATTGGTTCAGAGATCATTTAAATTGCTAAGCATTTATAAGCAATTAATAAAGAAATTTTAGTGTAAGATTGCTAGACTAGATACAAAACTGGTTAAAGTTCTACAAAGTATTAAAATAAAATCACTGAAATTTAAAAAAAAGTCTATAGGAGAATTTTATTTCCTATCACATTTTCTTTTTCTTTTTTCCCTATGGGTTCAATGTGAACATTAATAAAATCTATTTGAGAACATACCACCTAGTCCCAATATAGTGTTTAAAGTAAGGCCTTAGGTCAAACGTTCCTGCTCTGCAAATTCAAGCATAATGTGAACATCATAGTTGGTTTAAGAGTCTAAGAAATGATTCCCCTATGCTGACAGTGTAGCATTTTAATGTAATTTTCCTCTCAAATCAATTCTTGCCCCACTTTCCCCTGTATCAGTACTTGGTTCCATTGTCTATTCAGTTCCTCAAGACCCAAGACCTGGGAGTCATCCTTAATTTCTTTCCTTCAACCTCCACATCCAATCTATCACCAAGTTTTGTTCTACTTCTACTGGCTATTAATTCGTTGTCTCTTAGCCCCACACTCTCCCTTCTATACTCTGCTTTATGCTGCTGGATTTTCCAGATTTCTCTGCCAGCTGTTAATTTCTGCCAATGGGAGGAGGCACTGGCAAGAAACGAGAAGGCTGGAAGAGAGGAAATAGCAGCTATTGCTCTCAGTTGCTGTAGCAGTGGGGACGAGGTCCACACACCAGCTGTACCTCTACGTGGCACCTCCTTACCATTCAAGACCACTATAGCACCTCTTCCACTTCTAGCACCTGCAGTGCATTCCACCCCTTCAGCTTTTCATTCCTTCAGCACCCTGCATTCTCCCTTTTGCTTCTTCAGCCCTTCCAATACTTTTGTAATTAATACCCTTTTTTAACACCCTTTGTTACAAGTTAACTAGCATGGTTTTTCACTTCTTGACTGGAGCACCAGAGGATATAAACTCCAAAATATTTCCCAAATTTATCCACCTTTGCTACTACCACAATGCCCACTCTAATGCAAGGCACAGTGATCTCTCACCTGGATCACTGCAACAGCTAGGCTCCCTGAGACCACAACCAGGCAGGTGCCTGTGAGGCAGGCAGCATTAACTAGTGAGACCCCCTGAAAAAATAAGTTGTAGGAGAAAAGGATTCCCCTCTACTGCCAATCTTGGAGGCTGGTATTTGATTTTATTTCACAAAGTTAATTTGCTAAAACTGTTATTCACTTAATGCTTATTACTAGGCCAAGTTCCTTATCTCTGCCTTTTGCTCAGTCTGCCTTTTCTCTTTCATGTTATAGAACAGCAGGACAACCTGAAAGATAAGAGCATTTTATTTGTAAAATCTTTGCCAACTAACTCAAAAATGAAAGAAAATTAATTCCATTGCTATTTCAAAAAAAAAGGTCTTTTCAACATTCCTCCTAACTGAGCATTCTGAGATCCCAGAAATTCCAATTCATCTAACTCAAATTGCCATTGTGGTAGAGATGCAACATTCCTACAGGAAGGAAATCTTGAGACAGGCAGAAGCCATTTAAGGAATATGTGTAGTGCTTTCTGGAAGAGAAGGTGGTAGGAAATTGTCCCTGAGTCAAACTGTGACATTGGAAGGATGCCAGGTGGCTGACAACAATCTCTCTCTTCAACTGGGGTAGAAGAGCCAGCTCAGCCTTGAAACAAAGTGACCAGGGAGGTGTCTCAGCCAAAGGTTAATGTCTCTGCATCTCCAGCCTGGGAGGTAGAGTTGGATGAAGGGGTGAATGCTTTCTTGCCTTCAGCTAGAGCTTTAAAATGCTGTGAGGAAAGAGAAGGAACATGGAATATTTGGGTTATGCTAGTTGCTACATTTTAGCAAGAACTAACCTCTTTACAGCACTTTAAGCTCCAATTTTCCCTCAATTCTACTTTCAAAATGATTCTTTGGTGTTATCTTTGAAAAACAGCTAGAAATTTGCCCTACCTCCTACAATAATAAACCCCCTTCCCCTTCCTTTCTTCTTCCATTCATTAGGCCACTTAGTTCTCCTGTAAGAATGAGTGTCTTCTATAGATCTTTACCTAACCTCATCTAAGACACACATCTCCTCTAAAAGCCTTTCCTCTAAAAGCCCCACCCCTGCCTGCTTTGTAGCTCTCTTAATTACCAGAGAAGGGTAATGGTAACTCTGGGCAGAAACATCTTACATTGTCATAGGACACAATCACAGCCAACTCAGAATAGTGGAGACTACAGCAATCCTCACTACAATTTAAGTCAATCTCTAATGCTAGACTTACCTGTGAGTTCTTGAATTCCGAGTAAAGGGAAAAGAGCAGGTGGAGAGACTGAATCCGACTCTTGTAGATAGGAATGTCTAGGATGGCTGAAATCAGGTACTCCCATGAGCAGAACCAAACAAAAATCTAGGAGGACTTATGGGTCATTTCTGTTTAAGTTAGCCAATCCCCTCCCAGATGGGATGTGTTACCATGGCTTTGGGAGTTCAATACCCAGCAGGTAGTTGCATAAGCCCAATACCACCCTTCGGGGCTGCCAACAGCACAAGTGGCTTAGAGTGAAGGCTGTAACTCAGGACACCATCTTCTTAGAGTAAACAATCCTTTTCAAAAGCCCGCAGTTGGTTTATCCAGAGTTGGGGACAAGGAAGGGATGGAAGAGCTTACCACAGATCATGTCAATGTACTCTGCCAGGCTGCAATCAATCTCTGCCGTGGGCAGGCTCACCTAGGAAGTGCAAGGGATATACCAAGGTCTCTCTCTCTCTGAAGAGAAAAGAGTTCCTAGCTAAAGTCATACATATTATGGGCTAAATGGTGTTCCCCCAAAATCCATATGTTGAAGTCCTAACCCTTAGCACTTCAGAACATGACTGTATTCAAAGTATACTCTTAAAGGAGAGAATTAAATTAAAAACAGGTTACTAGAGTGGATCCAGTATGACTGGTATCCTTATAAGAAGAGGAAATTAAGACATGGATAAATACAGAGGGAAGACCATTGAAGACATAGGGAGATGATTGCCAATAAGAAAGTTTCGGAAAAAAAAATAAACTCTGCTGACAACTTGGTCTCAGACTTCAAGCCTCCAGAAGTGTGAGCAAAATAAAATAAATTTCTGTTGTTTAAGCCACCCAGTCTGTGGTACTTTGTTATGGCAGCGCTAGCAAATAATATAACATGCTTTTTTTTTCTCTGATCAGTAAAATGGAATTGGTCACATTCATTAACCACCAAAGTAGCAGATGATCTAACAAAACCAAAAAATTTTATAAGTAAAATGTACTGCCATCCTATCTTCCTGTGTGTATTTGTGAAGAAGTTGGTACTAATTTATATCCAAATATTGATAACTACTTGGTGTTAAAAGGCTTAATGGTCCTGCCTTGATCAGTGTGACTCAGCTGGTTGGACATTGTCCTGCAAAGTGAAAAGTTTCCAGTTTGATTCCAGGCAACATGCCTGAGTTGCAGGTTCAGTCCGCAGTTGGGGAGTGTGCAGGAGACAACCAATCAATGTCTCTCTCCCTCTTTTTCCCTCCTTTCCCTTCTCTCTACTAAACAAACAAACAAACAAACAAATAAATAAATATATTTTGGGGGGGCAAAAGGCCTAATAGTCCTTGGACATCAAAGAACTGGACATCACATCTCAGGTAACAGGCTCTGGGTCTAAACAAGTTTAGCCTAAGTTTAAAAATCATTAGAGTTCCGGCCAACATGGAGGCATAGGGAGAAACCCTTCGCTTACTCTCACAACCAAAAGGAGGATAATAACCAATATAAAATCAATAACCAACCAGAAACACCAGAAAAATCAAACTGCATGGAACTCTGACAACCACAAAATTAAAGAAAAAAATCAACCAGAACAACCAGATTGGTAAGGCAGACCCTGCAGGGAGAGCGACTCAGAAAAACCAGGGAAATGTGGTTGAGGGGTGGGGCTGACTGCCGAGTTTGGCACAGCTATACTAGGGAAACTGAGACGCAGAGCTGACTGTGGGCTACGGCAGGGATTGTGGGTGGTGGGAGATACTTCCAGTCTGACTCAAGAGTCTGTTGGAAAGTGTACGTGTACTAGTGACGAGGGAGCGAGCTGCGCTGCTCCCTCTCTGCCCCTCCCCCACAGGCAGCACAGCAAAGAGGGTTGCCCGCCTGGGTGAATACCTAAGGCCCTGCGCCCTTACAACTTATCAGCTGTGCCAAGACAAAGAAATAAGGCCCAAATGAAAGAACACAGCAAAACCTCAGAACTAAGTGATGAAGACATTGCCAACCTAACTAATGGAGAATTTAAAGCCCTGGTAATCAAAATGCTCACAGAACTGATTGAGCTTGGTTGAAAAATGAAAGAACGAATAAAAGGTACCCAAAAATGAAATAAAGCTAAATATTCAGGGAACCAACAATGACAAGAAGAAAATCAGGATTCTCAAAGCAAATATTTGAAACAAAAGGAAGAAATAAACATCCAACTGGATCAGAAAGAAGAAACAAGACTCCAAAAAAATGAAGAGAGGTTGAGGACTCTCTAGGACAACCTGAAACGTTCCAATATCCAAATTATAGGGGTGCCAGAAGGAGAAGAATAACAGCCAGAAATTGAAAATTTATTTGAACAAATAGGAAGGAAAAACTTCCCCAATCTGATGAAGGAAATAGACTTCCAGGAAGTCCAGGAAGCCCAGAGTGTACCAAGGAAGTTGGACCCAAAGAAGGACATACCAAGGCACATTATCATTAGGTCATCCAAGATTAAAGACAAAGAGAAAATCCTAAGAGCAGCAAGAGAAAAGAAGACAGTAACCTACAAAGGAGTTCCCATACAGCTATCAGCTAACTTCTCAAAAGAAACCTTGCAGGCAAGAAGGGGCTGGAAATTCATATTCAAAGTCATGAAAAGCAAGGACCTACATCCAAGATTATTGTATTCAGCAAAGCTTTCATTTAGAATGAAAGGGCAGATAAAGTGCTTCCCAGATAAGGTCAAGTTAAAGGAGTTCATCATCAGCAAGCCCTTATTATATGAAATGTTAAAGGGACTTATCTAAGAAAAATAAGATAAAAAATATGAACAATAAGATTATGACAAACTCAAAACTGTCAACGAATGAACCTAAAAGAAAAGAAAAACAACAAAAACAAAAACTAAGCAAACGGCCAGAACAGGAACAGAATCAGAGAAATGGACACCATGTAGAGGGAATTCAGTGGGGAGAGGGAAGGGAGGAATGGGGGAGGAGGTACACAGGGAAGAAGCATAATTAGGAGGCATTAAATAAATGGGAAAAAATAAAATATGGTACAGGAAACAGGGGACTCAAAGAACTTACATGTACAACCTATGGACATGAACTAAGAGGGTAGGTAATGCTGGAGGGTTGTGGGGCAGGGTGGAGGGGGGATCAAGGAGGAAAAGTTGTGAAAACTGTAATAGCATAATCAATAAAAATACTTTAAAAAAACATTAGCTTCTTAAAAATTTTTGTTCTCTTTTTATAAAAATCAGAGTATAATTCTGCAATTTCCTTTTTTCACTCAATAACATGTCATTAATATATCTTCATATCAGAGCAAAATTAGGTCAAATAATATTCCATTATATTCCTATTCAATTCTCTCATTAGACATTTTTCCTCAGTTACAGCTTTAAAATGCTGTAAGGCAAAAAGAGATTGCTCTTAAATTCTTTGCTTTTACAACAATTCCTCAATAAACATGTACAAAAAAAGAAAACCTCCCTTTTCACAGAGCTTATATTTCAGTTGGGAGAAACAAAACACAAAATAAGTAAAATATACAGTATATTAGAAGGTATGTATTATAAGAGAAGTATATTAGAAGGTATGTATTAAAAGGAGGAAAAGAGGGTGAGGAACATGGGGGAATTGGTGTAACATTTTTAAAATGATGGCCAGGAAAGACTTATCAGTCTTCTTCATTCAGTTTCCTTTTTTTTTTTTTTAAAGATTTTATTTATTTATTTTTAGACAGAGGGGAAGGGAAGGAGAAAGAGAGGGAGAGAAACATCAATGTATGGCTGTATCACACCCCCTACTAGAGACCTGGCCCACGGCCCAGGCACATGTCCTAGACCAGGAATCGAACGGGAGACCCCTTGGTTCATAGGCCTGCACTCAATCCACTTTGCTATACCACCCAGGGCTAGTTTTCTTTTTTTGATATGTATTGGTAATGTTGTTACATATATATGTAATTTTTCTCAGTCTATTATTGCTTTAACTTTATTTATGGTAACTATCACATTTTTCCCATTATAATTTTTTAAGTTTCTTATTATGCTAAGAAACACCTATCCTAACAGCACTAACTGTTTGTCCCACTTTTCAAAATAGTACTAGTATGGCTTTATTTTTACATTAATTGCTTAATTCATTTGGAATTCATGTAGGCATATGGTTGGAGCATAAACCTAATTTTTTCAAATGGCTAGTCAGTTGTCTCATCACAACTCAGTGTATCTCCATTTAAAATGCCCTGGTGTGGCTCAGTAGTTCAGTGCTTGCTTCTTGTGAAACAAGAAGTTACCGGTTCACTTCCCAGTCAGAGCACATGTTTGGGTTGTGGGCCAGGTTCCTGGTTGGGAGTGTGCAAGAGGCAACTTATTGATGTATCATTGTTTCTCCCCCTCTCTCTAAAAATAAATAACATCTTTAAAAAAATTTTTTGAAAAAAGTTAAATAAAATACTACTTTTCTTACACACCATGGGTTTGGATTCTTTTATAAGATTTTTATTTATTTTTAGAGGGAGGAGAAGAGAGGGAGAAACATTAATGTGTGGTTGCCCCTTTGCACACCCAACTCGAGGCCTGGCCCACAACCCAGACATGTGCCTGGACTGGGAATCAAACCAGCAATCCTTTGGTTTGTAGAGCAGAACTCAATCCACTGAGCCACACCAGCCAGGACTGTTTTGGGATTCTTATGTTCCACTCATCTATTTCTATTCCTACACCAATGTTTTATTTACTATAGCTTTATAATGTGTTTCTTTTCTTCGTTTTTTTATTATTGATTTGAGAGAAAGCAAAAAAACCCACAATGATTTGTTATTCTTCCCAACTGTGAATTCACTGGTTGATTTTTATACACGTCCTAACCAGGAATGGAACTTGGAACCTTGGTATTTGGGGACAAAGCTCTAACCAACTAAGCTACCTGGCCATGGCTAAAATGTGTTTCTAATGTCTGATGGGGTAAATCCTCCATTATTTTTTTCCTAAAATGTCCATGATTAGTTTTAGTCTTAAAAATCAATTCTCTCAGATAAACTTTATTACCAATTTTAATTTTCTAAAAAATAAAAAGCAATTAAAATCCTAATTGAAAGGCAGTACACTTACAGAGTAAACTGACAGTGCTACGAGACTAAATTTTCCTGCTTAGGAACACAGCATGACCCCTCATTTATTTAAATCTGTGTCTGCCCTTCATTAAAATTTTTTAATTTGTTTTTTAAAAATATCTTACCAATTCTTATTAAACTGATTCCTGTATTTTTAAATTTGGGGTAATTATGAATAGGACATCAGCTTCTTAGGACAGTACAAATAACTCTGTGGAAAAAGGTAGAGTCTAAAGTAATAATGCAGGATGCATATATATATGTTCACCAAAAGGTAAGTGTTACAATGTTCAGAGAAATATTATTGTAATATTGTAGTAACATTATACTTGTGATAACTCAAAACTGTAAACTACCTAAATGGCTACCATAGACATTCAAACGAGACAATATCGTACAGTATTAAGACTGTACAATAACAATATATGAAACAATATGCATAAATCTCCATATGAATGAATAATATAGATGAGCAAAACAAATATGACACAAAAGAGTTCAATTACATTGAGATAAAATGCAAAATAGGCAAACCTAATCTACACTATTATAAATCAGGTTAGTGGTTCTTTTGGGTCATGGGAGTAGTGTTCTGTTTTTTGATTTAATATATTGATTGACACTGAGATGTTCAGGTGGTGAAAATTAATCAACATGTACACTTCCGATTGTGTACAACACATCAACTAATAAGTTAATAATGATAATATAGGAAGAGAGAAAACACTGGGCCCTAGAGTGAATGCCATACTTTCTTAGATCCTGCTACATTTCACTCACCTTGCCCAAAAGCTCTTCAAACTCTGGGGACCATTCCTGCATCAGCATGTCAATATCAGGCATTGGCCTAAAAGTACAAAGGTAAATATAAAGAAACATTGACAAGTGACATCAGCAACCTTTGGATTGGGATGAACGGAGGTTCTGAATCTAGCACACTGGGATTTCAGGTGAACATAGAGGGGCAAACCAAACTTACGCAGGGCCTGGAGTTTGGAGGAGCTGACTAAGTAACAATACCAGATAAATCACAACCTTTATGTCTGCAATCTCAGCCAGAAGCTGCCAGCATCCCTGTGACCTTAGGCTGATCAACAATGTCCCCAGGCTTTGAGCCCTCTTCTCAGAAGCAGTGGGTTCACAGGTGGTAAAAGTTACTATGGGTTACAGCAGTGAAGAATGTGGTATTTCTTACCTAGTATAATGGACAGTTGCAGGGGGTTTAGAACGATGTAACTCAGAGATGCTCTCAATCCATGTGTCAATGGCTTTGGGATTCTTTTCTGCATCTTCCAGGCTCTTTATTTTCATGTGTTGCTAGAAAAACAAGGGGAAGCCTGACTGATGGCACTGAAGTGGCATGTTTTTACACCATGACTTATGAAGTGCCATTTCACACACAAAATAGCTGATGAAAAGGGGAGACTGAGAGCAGCCACATAGAGATTATAGGAAACCCTGATAAAATTTCCTAGCACAATGGGAAAGGGGCAGATCAATAAGAACTGACTATAATAAGGTACCATTTCACACCTATTGGGATGGCTAAAATAAAAGAGAGTAAGAAGTGCTGATGAAGTTGGGGAGAAATTGAAACACTCATTCATACCTAAAATGGTTCAGTCACTTTGGAAAACACTTGACAGTTCCTCAAAATGCTCAACAGTTACCATATGGCCCAGTAACCCCACTCCTACATATATATCCAAAATAATAACAATATATGTCCATGCAAAAATATGTACATGTTCATGGAAGCATAATTAATAAAAGTGGAAACTGGTGAATGAATAAACAGAATGTGATATGTCTATACAATGGAATATTATTCAACCATTAAAAAAATGAAGTAGACTTCCTCCAAGATGGAGACGTAGGTGGAGGAACCACCTTGCCTCTGTGCACAACCAAATCTAAGAACAACTATTTTTAACAACAATCACAACCAAGCCACACGGAAAATCGACAATACGGAGTCCAAAGACAACTAAATGCTCAGCTAAACCGGTAAGAGAAGCGAAACCAGCAGCGGAGCAGGTTAGCAAGAAAAAATCCCCGGGTGGTGTGCTGTGCGCGAGCAGCCGAAGGCGCTGATCTCGGGCTAGCTGCGGGAGCGCACAGGGAAGAGGCGCGGTGGGTTGTCTGCAGTCGGTCGGTCGCGCATCTGCGTGCGGATAAACCAGTGAGAAGGGAAGCCTGCGCGGGGCAGCAGGCTCGCACAATTCCGATCAGATAAACAAGCCCGGGGCGAGTGGTGTGACTGGACGGGCTGGGCTAGTGGAGAGGACCGCCATTGCTCCCTCTCTGACCACGCCCCCACACACAGTGTCACAAACCAGCGACCTGGGTCTCCCCCGTCCTGGTAAACAACTAAGGCTTCGCTCCGCTTACTTAACGGCACGAATAGACCAAAAATGGCTCTAGGACAACTCAGAGCCCCAGAACCGATAGATCTAAGCGATGAACAAATAGCCAGTCTTTCAGATGCACAGTTCAAAACACTGGTTATCAGGATCCTTACAGAACTGGCTGATTTTAGTCACAAATTAGAGAAACATATGGAAGCTAAACTAATTGAAATGAATGGTAATACAAAGGAAACCAATAGTAATGGAAAGAAAATAGGGACTCAAATCAAGGGAGTGGACCACAAGGAAGAAAAAAAATGATCAAACAGAAAAGAATGAAGAAATAAGAATTCAGAAAAATGAGGAGAAGCTTAGGAACCTCCAGGACATCTTTAAACGTTCCAACATCCGAATTATAGGGGTACCAGAAGGGGGAAAGGCACAGCCACCAGTGGAAAACTTATTTGAACAAATAATAAAGGAAAATTTCCCCATTCTGGCAAAGGAAATAGACTTCCAGGAAGTCCAGGAAGCTCAGAGAGTCCCAAAGAAGTTGGACCCAAGAAGGAACACACCAAGGCACATCATCATTACATTAGCCAAGATTAAAATGAAGGAGAGAATCCTAGAAGCAGCAAGAGCTAAGGGGACAGTCACCTACAAAGGAGTTCCCATCAGACTGTCAGCTGATTTCTCAAAAGAGACCTTACAGGCAAGAAAGGGCTGGAAAGAGGTATTCCAAGTCATGAAAACCAAAGACCTACAACCAAGATTGCTCTACCCAGCAAAGTTTTCATTTAGAATGGAAGGGCAGATAAAGTGCTTCTCAGATAAGACCAAATTCAAGGAGTTCATCATCACCAAGCCCTTATTATATGAAATGTTAAAGGGACTTACCTAAGAAAAAGAAGATAAAAAAGATGAACAGTGAAAGGACAGCAAACTCACAGTTAGTAACAACCACACCTAAAACAAAAGCAAACTAAGAGGACAGCTAGATCAGGAGCAGAACCATAGAAATGAAGATCTCATGGAGGGTTAGCAACAGGGGAGTGGGAGGAGGAGAAGGGGGGAGAAGGTACAGAAAATAAGTAGCATAGACAGTAGATAGAAAATAGATAGGGGGGAGGGTAAGAATAGTAGGGGAAATACAGAATCTAAAGAATTTGAGACACATGTTCATGAACTAAAGGGGGAAATGGTGGGGGAGGGGTATGCAGGGTGGAGGGGAATGGAGGGGGGGAATAGAGCAAATGTAATGGCATAATCAATAAAAAAAATAAATTAATTAAAAAAAAAAATGAAGTAGTTACCTGAGTCTAGGAGCAGGGGAGAATGAGAAGGGACTACTAATGGGTACAGGATTTCTTTTTGGAAAGATAAAAAAAATAATATACTTAGATGATGATGAATATTTTTAGTATATTGTAAATATACTAAAAATCATTGAATTTTATGATTTAAAAAGGTGAATTTTATGGTAGGTAAACTATATCTCAGTAAAACTGTTATGTAAAAGATAGGGCTATCCTGAAGCCACAGCCATCCCTGTCAGCAGGAAGTCAGTCAACTAAACAAACACCAGCAAGGCCTGTGCTCCAGCCTCTCCAGATGGGCCTGCACTGGGCTAGTGTCTTACCGTGATGTTGTGCTGCTTGGAGTTCTCTGTTAACCAGAGTGAGAGCACTGTAGGATCTGACTGCTTTGTAGAAGGCTCATCTAATACCAATAGGCCAAGGTTGTCAGGCTTTCCATCAGGACGTGGGACCTGGTTAGGAGAAAAGTGAGAAAACAGAGAAAAAACATGAGAGGGATGTAAAAGACCACACATTTTGATTCCAATAAGCTGAAGAGGAAGAACTCTTCTGGTTCATCCGTATTACTAGTACTAAAGAGCATGCCTGGCCCTGGTCAGGTGGCTCAGTTGCTTGGAGCATCACCCCATACACCAAAATGTTGTGAGTTCTACCCCTGGTCAGGGCACATATCTAGGTTGTGAGTTTGATCCCCGGTTGGGGTGCATACAGGAGGCAGCTGGTCGATGTTTCTCTCTCTTGCTCCCACTTCCTCTCTCTCTAAAATCAATAAATATGCCCTGTCTGGTGTGGCTCAGTGGATTAAGTACCAACCCGTGGACCAAGGGTCACTGGTTTGATTCCCAGTCAGGGTACGTGCCTGGGTTTCAGGCCAGGTCCCCAGTAGGGGGCATGTGAGAGGCAACCACACATTGATATTTCTTTCCCTCTCTTTCTCCCTCCCTTCCCCTCTCTAAAAATAAATTTTAAAAAAATCTTTAAAAAGTAAAATAAAATAACATAAAATCAATAAACATATCCTTGGGTAAGGATTTTTAAAAAAGAAAAAAAGTATGCCTGTATAACATGCTGTACTAAAATCCTATGTAGAAAAACATGCATGATCTTAAATATAAAGCTGAAGTCATGGATAATTAGGTGATAAATCTATGGCAAGTTTTTAACATATAATGAGATGATCAAATACTACTTAATAGCAATGAATAAAATATGGAGTAGAGAGCAAGTTTAAGAACTCTAATGAGAAAAAATTACAATAAATAAACTTTAAAATTAAATTATATTTAAAAAGAGAACTCTAATGAAATGAAAAATATGTTTCAAGGTAGCCAATCCAAGAAAATTAGAAGAACTGGTAGAGTAATCGTGTCAAAAGAAACATCTACCAACTCATTTTTAGGATATTATGACTGTACCTTTAAGAATGCATCAATATCCCCAACAGCTGGGATAAAATCAGGAATGAAAGGTTTCAGTTTGTGGTCCAGGTCAATCAGCTGAGGTGTATACCTAGGAAATATTGCCAAGGGACAATGGAAACAGAGAAACTTACTTTACTATTCAGGTTTAAAAATCTAAGGAGAATGGCCTTGTTTCAGACTAGAGGTAGAAAAGGGCAAGGTAGGGTCTGGAGGGTTATGGTAAGAAGTCCTAATACTTACCTACTTATATATTGGAAGAGTTCCTTAACCTCAGCAGAAACCGGCAAATGCTCATAATCTGCAGGATCATAGGCTCTGGAAAAAGCAAAATATGATTCAAAGTGACCAGTGAAGAGCAGATGCTGCTGAGCCTCCGGCCCTATGTCACTACTACTGCAGGGCACATGACTCTGAATCTAGTTTCTGCTTCACATCTGCCTTTCTTGGGTGGTCTGCAAGGCAACTTTAAAATTGATTAAAAGTACTTATCAGTTATCTCTGACAGTAAAGAAGAATACAGTTGCAGAAAATCTAAAACATAATTTTAAAAAATTTTACACTAGCAGAAATTGTTTTCCTTTTTGAATGAAAAGAATAAAAGAAAAGATGGAATGAAACATTAATTTCTAGTATGCAAATAGTTTGCCCAATACAAAAAGAAATTTTTAAAAAGATGTTTTTCACAAAAGTAAAAAAATTAGAAACAAATAAAATATCCAAAATTTGAGTAATGGTTAAATATGCTCAAGTTGACTATTGCATAGTTACTAAAAAATACTTGTATCGACACATGAAGTGTGTACAGTTAAAAAATAAATAAATAAATAGATAGATAGATAAATAAATACAGCCCTGGCTGGTGTAGTTCAGTGGACTGAGAGTGAGCCTGTGATTGATTCCCAGTCAGGACACATGCCTGGGTTGCAGACCAGGTCCCTAGTAGCAGGTGTGCCAGAGGCAACCACACATTGTTTCTCTCCTACTCTTTCTCCTTCCCTTCCCCTCTCTTTAAAATAAATAAATAAAATCTTTAAAAAAATACAACACACTAATTATAATTAAGTAAAATGTAACAAACATTGATAAAATATGTAAGTGACTTTGGAAGTTAGTAACAAGGCTGTTCTGGAGAGAGTTGCTTAATAAAAAAATTAAGTAAAGGAGATTAATGACTTAAGGTTTACATTTCCCTGATTATAATTTATGGTCATAAAGTAAATTGGGAAGCATAAAAAAATCAGTCTAGTATTAACTTTCCTCATTTACTTACTGTCTTCCTGCAAGTGGATAACCCAAAGGTAGCTATTTTTTCAACTAATTTAATAAATTATACATGCACAGGATGCAAAATAAAAGGTGCAAAATGTATGCAATGAAAAGTTATGTCTCCCTTGCCACCAAGTTCCCCTCCCAAAAGTAATCACTATTACCAGTTTCTTAGTGTATCCTACAGATAGTTTATGTAGTATTTGCTTTATACACACGGTAGCAAAACAAACACTTCTATACATTTTAAAAATCTAACAGCATCTCTTGGACATTGTTCTTTACCAGTGCAAAGGGTGCTGCCACATTCTTTTCAATGGCTAGATAGAATTCTACCGATTGGTTACATCATCATTTATTTAACCAGTGATTATATTTTATTTTTAAAAATATTTATTTCTTTTTAGAGAGAGGAGAAGAGACAGAAAAAGAGGGAAAGGTCCACGTGTGGTTTCCTCTCACGCACCTCCTACTGGGGACTTTGGCCTGCAACCCAGGCATGTGTCCTGACTGGGAATCAAACTGGTGACCCTTTGGTTCACAGATCAGCACTCCAGGGCCCAGTAATTATATTTTAAATGGATGGGCCTTAGAATCCACTTTGATTAAAACCTAAAGGGGTAGATCATAACTAATCTAACACCAGGATTTGGCACAGGGTAAGAAGTTTTTAACTTAAGCATCATTTAGGAACACTTTGCCTCAGTGTTGAACTACCTATTCTCTGCCTATCCAAAAAGAATTTGAACTTAAAGTTTTCTACTCCTATACCTGTATGTTTTTCTTGCTAAATAGAAATGCTTTGGTATGTAAATAAATTTATTTTCTTTTCCCTAAAATATGAACTCCCTGAAGTCAGGGACCATCTTTTAGATTTATTCAACCCTCATGAACCCTGAGCCCACAAATGTTTCAAACAGTGCAAGCAACATCATGGGACCTGATGCAGCAGTGGAGCCAGAAAAGAATAAAAATGCATTATGGTGGGTTTTTGAGACATGAAAATCCTAAATAGAGATCAAAAGAGATGCTGGAATTTCACTTTTAACTGATATCCTCTTAATCTGTGTTTTGAAAAGGGTTTTCTTCCTTGACAAGGGTGGTTTGCTCACCCTTCCAGAGGGGCTCCATGCTCTTCATCATCATCTTCTTCATCAGAATCAGTTTCAGATGAGTCATCATCATCATCATCATTTTCACTAAAGCCCTGTTGAGGTGTCAGCTGAGAGGTCTTCTTCTTCTCCTGAGATAGGGTAGGGTAGACAAAGAAAGGCCCATATAATGAAAAATTTAGTGTCCAGTTCCCTCCTAGGACTCTAACCAATACCCTGCCACCTGGCACCACATTACTAGAGAGAAAGCAGCACTCCCAGAAGGGCCTTGAGAACCATCTCCTGCTCCTATTCATTGCAAACTCAGTCCTCATTTCTATAACCATATTTTCTTTCTCTGCTTGAGGTTTGAGTATAAATTTTATCCAAGATATATTTATTTTAACTATTATTAAGGAGATCCTAAAACCTCTGCATAAACTATCCAGTAGGTTCAACTATAAAATTTGGGCACTTTTGGAGAAAGGCAACTCTAAGTTGTTATTTTGGAAGGAAACAGGGAATGAAATAAGATGAAGTGGGGAAGACAACTTGAGAGAATCTTAATATTCACAAAGATCACGCAGAGCAAATTTAATTTTTAATTTGCAAGATTACCCAGAATAAAAGTAACCACCAAAAGAAGAAAGTCAAGGCTTTGGGTCAAGATGGCAGCATAGGCAAACACGGCTCACTTTCTTGCACAACCACATCCAAATTACAACTAAAATATAGAACAACCATCACTCAGAACCATCAGAAATAGAGCAGAATAGAAGTCTGACAACTACTGAATTAAAGAAACCACATCCATCCAGACTGGTAGGAGGGGCAGAGACCGGGAAGGAGGGGTGGAAACGTGGGACTGGCTGATCCTACACCTATGTTGTGGATAAAAACTTGGGAAGGATATCTTGGGAACAAAGAGTACCAGCCCCAGTCCAGGGTTCCAGTGCCAGGAAGATCTACAAAAAACAGCAGGGATTGAGTCAGTGGAAGAAACTTCTGGAGTCTCAAAAAGTTCCTCTTAAAGAACCCACACACAGACTCACTTCAGACTCCCTACTTAATGAGCTCTGGAACCTGGGTAGAGACTCAAAAGGTACCAATGACAAATGGGGAGGAAGTAAAGTGTTGGGCATTAAGGTGAGAGCTCGGGGATAGCTTTCTCCCAGACAGAAAGGTAAGCAAAGGCCACTGACCATGTTTGGAAACCTCCCCCCACAGAGCCACAGAGCCACAGAGCCACAGAGCCAGCAGTCTGGCACCATATTCAAGACTCCATCAATCTGACTAACACTGTTTTCCCAGCCCTGGAGATCCCCAGACACTATGCCTCACCCAATTTAGGTGCCCACCCAAGCTGTTTTTCCATATGAATGGCTGGTCTTGGCTCATGCTTCACAACATCTTAAATCCTCTCAAATAAGCAACAGCCAGTCTCAGTGAGCCTCCAGCCCCTGTACCTCTTGCTAATTGTCCCCAGGCCCTGCAGTAGAACTAGTCAGCCTAGGTTTATAGCTTAGCTTTGCCTGGGAATCTCCAAGCCCACCACAAGTAGCAGCCATCTCAGATTGCTTTACAGGTCATGCACAGTGGCTCTGGGCAAAACATAGGTGGGGCTGACCTTGGCCTGCATCACCTGGGAAATCTCAGAGCCTGTGTACCAGTAGACAGCTATAGACCACATCACAGCACCATCACCCTGCCCCTACATAGCTAATCCTCCACGGAGGGTGGAGGTTGGTGGTTGGTGGTCAGTGGTCCCTGCTGGTACTTGCAGCTGACTGGTCTGGGTAAATCCTTTCCATTGATCTGCCAATAGTAATCAAGGCTCAACTATAAGAGGAGGGTACACCTCACACAGCCCACACAAAGGGTGCACCTCAAGTACCCAGCTGGGTGATAAGGGAGGTTGTGCCACTGGACCCTACAGGACACCTACTACATTAGGCCACATTACCAGAGTTCCACATTACCACATAGCTCTACCTAATACACACAAACTAACAGGGGAGGCTGCCCAAATGAGAAAAAGAAACATGGCACAAATGAAAGAACAGATCAAAACTCCAGAAAAAGAGCTAAATGAATGGACATGAGCTATCTATCATATGCAGAGTTCAAAACACTGGTCATAAGGATGCTCAAGGAACTTAGCGAGGACCTCAACAGCATAAAAAAGTCCCCATCAAAAAAAAAGGATACACTAATTAAAATAAAGAACAAATTACAGTGAAACAACAGTGGAGTGGATGAAGCTGAGAATCAAAACAATGATTTGTAACAAAGAAGCAAAAACAACCAATCAGAACAACAACAAAAACGAATAAAAAAATGAGAATAGGAGAGACTTCTGGGAAAGATGGAGGCGTAGGTGGAAATACTGTGCCTCCTCATACAACCAAGTTTAAAGACAACAAAGTTTTAGTAACAAAAACGCAGCCAAAACACAAAAAATTGAACTCTACGGAAGTCCAACAACAACAAACCATTCAGCCAGACTGGTAAGAGGGTCAGAGTCAGAGGCGAGCAGATCAGGCAGGAAAGATCGGCAGGACCCACCCAGACCCGAGTGCGCAGGTGGCAGTTGGCAGATCCCAGCAATGGGGTGGCAACAGGTGGACCCAGTGAGGGTGCGGAGTGGGTGGCTGACCACAGTCACACATTTGCCCGCAGATGAACCAAGCAAAGGAGCGAACAGTGAGACAGACCACTCAGGCTAGGGTCCTAGTGACAGGAATTAAAGCCTAAAAGCACCAACTGGAAAGACTTTTGGGGTCGAGGTGCCGGGAGAGGCTCCCAGGCTCACAGAGAGTTCGTTGGAGAGACCCACAGGGTCCTGGAGGGTACACAGGCCCACACACCCAGGAACCAGCACCAGAAGGGCCCAATTTGCTTGTGGGAAGCAGCAGAGGAGACAGAAATCTGAGAGAGAGAGCAGAACAAATGTCATTGCCCCTCTCTGACCCCACCCCCACATACAGCATCACCCCCCAGCAACCTGGGTCACCCCACCCTGGTGAACACCTAAGGCTCCAGCCCTCATACATTAACAGGTGCGAACAGAACTAAAACATTATGGCTCAAGAACAGCTCAAAGCCCCAGAGCCAATAATTCTAAGCGACCAAGAGATAGCCAACCTTTCAGATGCACAGTTCAAAACACTAGTGATCAGGATGCTCACAGAATTGGTTGATTTTAGTCACAAATTAGAGGAACATATGAAGGCTAAACTAATTGAAATGAAGGGAAATGCACAGGAAACCAATAGTGATGGAAAGGAAACTGGGACTCAAATCAAAAGAGTGGACCAGAAGGAATAAAAAAATGACCAAACAGAAAAGAATGAAGAAACAAGAATTCAAAAAAATTAGGAGAGGCTTAGGAATCTCCAGGAGATCTTTAAACGTTCCAACATCCGAATTATAGGGGTACCAGAAGGGGAAGAAGAACAGCCATGACTGGAAAACTTATTTGAACAAATAATAAAGAAGAACTTCCCCAATCTGGCAAAGGAAATAGACTTCCAGGAAGTCCAGGAAGCTCAGAGAGTCCCAAAGAAGTTGGACCCAAGAAGGAACACACCAAGGCACATCATAATTACATTAGCCAAGATTAAAATGAAGGAGAATCCTAGAAGCAGCAAGAGATAAGGGGACAGTCACCTACAAAGGACTTCCCATCAGACTGTCAGCTGATTTCTCAAAAGAGACCTTATAGGCAAGAAGGGGCTGCAAAGGAGTATTCCAAGTCATGAAATCCAAAGACCTACAACCAAGATTGCTCTATCCAAGAAAGCTTTCATTTAGAATGGAAGGGCAGATAAAGTGCTTCTCAGATAAAGTCAAGTTCAAGGAGTTCATCATCACCAAGCCCTTATTATATGAAATGTTAAAGGGACTTATCTAAGAAAAAGAAATTAAAAAATATGAACAGTGAAAGGACAGCAAACTCACAGTTAGTAACAACCACACCTAAAACAAAAGCAAACTAAGAAGACAGCTACATCAGGAGCAGAAACAGAAATGAAGATCACATGGAGGGTTAACAACAGTGGAGTGGGAGGAGGAGAAGGGGGGAGAAGGTACAGAGAATAAGTAGCATAGACGGTAGGTAGACGAAGAGGGCAGGAATAGTATGAGAAATAAGAGAATCTAAAGAACTTGTGACACATGAACATAAACAAAAGGGGGAATGGTGGGGGAGGGATGTGCAGGGTGGAAGGGAATGAATGGGGGGAATAGGACAACTGTAATGGCATAATCAATAAAATATATTTTAAAAAATGAGAATAGTTACTGTAAATAGCCTCTGGGACAACTTCAAGCATTCCAACATTTACAGCATAGGGGTGCCAGAAGGAGAAGAGAAAGTCAAGAAATTGGAAATCTATTTGAAAAAATAATGAAAGAAAACTTCCCTATTTTGGAGAAGGAAATAGACATGCAAGTCAGGAAGCCCAGAGTCCCAAACAAGATGAATGCAAAGAGGCCCGCTCCAGGACACGTCATAATTAAAATGCCAAAGGTTAAAAATAAAGAAAGAATCCTAAAAGCAGCAAGAGAAAAGGAGTAGCCCCTGCAGAGGAGTTCCCATAAGACTGTCAGCTGATTTCTCAAAAAAACTTTGTGGGCTAGAAGGAATTGGCAAGAAATATCCCAAGTCATAGAAAGCAGGGATTAGATTACTACAGCCAAGATTACTCTACCCAGCAAAACTATCATTTAGAATCGAAGGGCAGATAAAGAGTTTTCCAGACATGAGAACACTAAAGGAGTTCATCATCACCAAACCATTGTTACATGAAATGTTAAAGAAACTTATAACTACAATCAATAAAATGGCAATAAATACATATGTACCAACATTGAATCTAAAAAACATACTAAGCAAACAAGAGAGACAAAACCATGGATATGGTGAGTATTTTGATGGTTGCCTGATGGGAGGGAGGTATGGGGGAATGGGTGAAGATATGAGGGGATTAAGATGTACAAAAATAGGCCCTGGCTGGTGTAGCTCAGTGGATTGAGCTTGGGCCTGCGAACCAGACAATCGAGGTTCGATTCCCAGACAGGGCACATACCGGGGTTGCAGGCAGGTTCCCTGCAGGCCAGTTCCCAGCAGGGGATGCATGAAAGGCAACCATACATTGATGTTTCTCTCCCTCTCTCCTTCCCTTCCCCACTAAAGATAAATAAATTAATTAATTAATTAATTAATTAAAAAAAAAAAAACGATGTACAAAAATGGCCCTGGCTGGTGTAGCTCAGTGGGCTGAATGCTAGCTTATAAACCAGAGGGTCGCTGGTTCAGTTCCCGGTCAGGGCACATGACTGGGTTACAAACTGATTGATGTATCTCTCATACACTGATGTCTCTCTCTCTCCGAAAGAAAAAAGAAAAGTAAAAAGAGGTAGTTTACAGAATCACCCTGGGGATGTAAATTACAGTATAGGAAATGGAGCAGCCAAAGACCTAGATATGCACAGGACCAATGGATATGAATGAAGGTGTGGGGATTGCCTGAGGAAGTGGGGGTGCTGGGTGAGAGGGGAAAAGGGGCAAAATTGGGACAACTGTAATAGCATAAGATTAAATATAATTTAAAAAAAGAGTTCATAATCAAACCCCTGTCTGAATTTTAAAAATCTTTTTCTTAAATTGTTTTTTAGAGAGGAAGAGGGAGAGTGTGGGTTTGGGGGAGGGAGAGGGGAGTGGGGGGGAGAGAATTTGCTGTTCCATTTATTTATGTAGTCATTGGTTGATTCTTGTATGTGCCCCGCCCTGACCAGGGACCAAACCCATAGCCTTGGAATATCAGGTCAACACTACTCAGGGCGTCCTGCCTGAATTCTGATCAGCAGTTCCAGGAACTATGAGTTTTCTGTTTCCATTTTCTTCAGTGGGTATCTAACCAACCCCCATTTCCCTTTCCTTCCCCCTACATTAAACGCAATGACTATACATTGTTTCTCAAGATAAGAGGCTCTTCTATTATTGGCATCACAATCTACCTTTCTGAGCTTCTGGTTCTCTATGCACCATCCCACCCTCTCAAGTGCACGAGCAGGGGTCTGATGATACTTAGGGTTTGCAGGGGCAGTTGGGATGGGGTCCATGCCTTTGCCTTTGTAGCCTGGAACCTGTGGAATGCCCTCACTTAGGACCTGAAAGATGACCAATTGGCCCTCTTTAAAAGAAAGTTTAGAAGCTTGGAAGCTTGGTTTCCATGTTATATGGCTTATACTGAGGCTAGAATACATTCTTGTATGGTAAAACAGCTATTGGAACATAAAATTGTGACACATTGTAAGACATCAAAACTGCCTTTGGTCTCAGATTTACTATACATAGTTTAAAATGTATTTTTTAAAAGATTTTATTTATTTTTAGGGAGAGGGGAAGGGAAAGAGAGAGGGAAAGAAACACTGATGTGTGAAAGAAACGTAGATCAGTTGCCTCTTGCATGCCCCTACCTGGGGACCAGGCCTGAAACCTAGGCACATGCCCTCACTGGGAACTGAACTGGAGTCCTTTCAGTTTGCAGGCCAGTGCTCAATCCACTGAGCCACACCAGCCAAGGCTATAAAACTATATTTTAACTAATCTACAGTATGTGTGACAGATGACACACAGTTGCAGAATTTATTCAGTGACTAAGCCTTATCGGTATACAATTAATAAAAATCTCCTATTGTGTTCTTTCTTAATATAAAATCTGCTAAAATTATACTTGGTTACATGGGAAACAATCTGGCAAAAGGGAGCTTTTAAAGAATATTGTCAGTTTAAAGATTATTCAGCCATGGCTAGTGTGGCTCAGTGGACTGATCACCAGACTACAAACCAAAGGGTGGTGGGTTCTATTCCCAGTCTAGGGCACATGCCTGGGTTGTGGGCCAGGTCTCCAGTAGGGAGTGCATGAGAGGCAACCACACATTGATGTTTCTCTCCCTCTGTCCCTTCCCTTCTCCAAGAATAAAAATAAAATCTTAAAAAAAAAAAAGATTATTAAAAAATGGATGCTTTCTGCAGACTCTGGGTGCATATGAAATTAAGAACATAAGTGAGCCTTGAATATTGACCACATTGTGATGATGATTAGAAAAACTTTGGTTGAATATATAAAATTAGGAAGTTAATTAAGAAAATTATTCACTTTTGTCTGCTTCTTCAAAGTTATGCTTTGCAAATCCCTGATCTAAAGGCAGGGGACTTTAAAACATTTTTTAAAATTTACTGATCTGAGAGAAACACTGATTTGTTGTTCCACTTTTCCATGCATTCATTGGTTGATTCTTAGGTGTGCCCTACCCGGGATAGGATCTGCAACCTTGGTGTGTCAGAACAACACTCCAGCTGAGCTACCTGGCTAGGGCTAAAGGGGGCTTTATAAACCACAAATTCTTAAAAAATTACATTGTGGGTTAGATATTAAAACAGCACATTAGTCACCAAGTGGTGCTGCCTTAAAATGTTACCTCTTAGGCTTTTTATGAAATCAGCCTATAACACTACAGCTTTCTGCATTGCTTCAAATATTCTTCTTCACTAAAGTTTTAAAAGTTCCTGTTCTTAAAGGACAACTAAAATGTAACCATTGGATCATGTGATACGGCTGAACACCATGGTTGTTAAACAGAGCACCTACAATTTTTAGAGCTGTAGGCATCTTTCTGCCTTTGTCTCAGAAACAGAGTGATTCTCTAGGTTCACAGAATAACAATAAAGTGACACTTGGGTCTTAAGACTTCAAAATTAAAGTCTCTTTCACAAAATATTGGCAGTATCACAAGTTGTTGGCAATAAATGCCTAAAACCATAATTCCAAACTTGCTTTTTTTTTTTAATCTTTTTTTTTAAAGATTTTATTTATTTATCTTTGAGGGGAAGGGAAGGAGAGAGGAGAGAAATATCAATGTATGGTTGCCTTTCGTGCATCCCCTGCTGGGAACTGGCCTGCAGGGAACCAGCCTGCAACCCGGGTATGTGCCCTGACTGGGAATCGAACCGTGATTGCCTGGTTCACAGGCCCGCGCTCAATCCACTGAGCTCAATCCACTGAGCTACACTAGCCAGGGCCCAAACTTGCTTTATTAAGAGAATTACTTGGAGTGCTTGCTAAAAATATAAATTCCCAGGCTTTTACCTTCAAGACTGATTCCATAGTTCTGGATGGGAACTGGGAATCTGTGTTTCAAAAAATGAAGTGCCCCCAACTGATTCTTATGATCAGTAAAATTTGTAAAACACTGGCCTACATCACATGAAATTCCTCACCAAAAAGTCAGCTGCAATAGTAATGTTTATTCCTGAAAAAGAATAAAAATTTTAAGGCTCGTTCCTCCTGATTGTCCTCCAAAAGCTCAGAGGTACCCAACCACTGCAGGTGAATATTCAAGAAATATTTACTACTGAACCAATATCAGTAGTAAATATTTAGTTATACTAAATTATTTAGTAACTACTAAATTATTTAGTAACTACTAAAAAAAATGAAAGTAGAAGTTCCACAAGAAGCCACAGGTTATACCACACCTTGTTATCTTCCTCTTCATACTCATCACTGCTGTTATCAGCCATAGTCTTGTTATGAGGATGGTCAGAATGAGGAAGTCCTTAGGAGAAAAGTTTTCCCTTTAGGTTATTGTTAAAATGATTTTTAAAGACAGATACTTTTAGTTTATAATATATTATAACCTAACCACTTTATGGAACACAGTTCATATAAACATCTACCTAAAGGACAGGAGACTAAACTAGTCATGACTCTGTCAATTCAACATATATTTACTAAGCATTACTGTGCTTAAGTAATAGGGTTGGACATTACACTAACTGATTATTTGCTGTTACATAAATACCATAAAATCTACCCTCAGATTGTACATTGCTAAAATGACTTAGTAATTAGTAAAGTGAAAAGAGTGCTGGGTTTATAGTCAGAATACTGGGTTTGAAGAACAACTCTTCAATCATTTGGACAAAAATGACTTAACTTCTCTGAGTCTCAGTATTCCCATCTCTAAATGAGGTCAATAATACTTTTCACTCAAAACTGCTGTAAGGATCAAGTGAAAAAACTTACATGAAAGAAACCTACCTAGCTCTTGTCAAATTATAGTCACAGATATAAACCTGAATCAGTGCCCATAGAGCAATAAAAATATTCTGAACAACTAATCCAAAAAATTAACAACTAGATGTAAAATGTTAATTGGCATGATTTCTAAATCAAATAAATGCCAATTAAACACCATTTTCCAGCCTACTAAATTGCCCAAAATAAAAATAAACTATGGTGTCCATAGCTGACAAGATTAAAAATATGGTCAAGTCAAAAACCTGGGTGTCTAGGTATACATATACCCACAAGATTAAAAGCACTAATTCAAACAGAAACTTGTACACCAATATTCATAGCAGCATATTCATAATAGCCAAAATATGTAAATAACCCAGGTGTCCAATAGGAGATGCATGGATAAACAAAACATGGCTATATAGACAATGGACTATTATTCACCATAGAAATGGAAATTCTAATACATGCTATAGCATGAATGAATCTTGAAAATATTTATGTTAAGTGAAATAAGCCATACTACAAAAGGACAAATATTGTATGATTCCACTACAATAGGCAAATTGGCTACAATAGGCAAATTCCTACAAAGTATCTGGGAAGTACAGAGGGACAGGGAGTTATTAATTAATGGGTATTTTTCATCTGTTCAGGATGATGAAAAAGTTCTGGAAACAGTAGAGATAGTTATACAACAATATGACTTTATTTAATGCCATTGCATTACACACTTAAAAAGGGTTATTATTTTTTAAAAGATTTTTTAAAATTTATTTTTAGAGACAAGAGATTGGAGGGAGAAAGAGAGGGAGGAAAATGTGAGAATCATCAATCAGTTGCCTCTGTATGTGCCCCATCCAGGACCAAACCTGCAACCCAGCCAAGTGCCCTGACTAGGAATCAAACTGGTGACCTTTTGCTTTGGGGGAGGACACCCAACTGAGCCACACCAATCAGGACTAAAATGGTAAATTTTATATTAGGTGTATTTACCACAACAAACAAACAACTCTGAATGTCACCCTTGATTCCTAACTCAAGAGCCAAATCTAATTCATCAGCAAGTCTTGGTGAATTTTTTATCTCTATATTTCCAACTGCCTCACCCCATCCAAGCCACTGTCACCTCAAATCAGCCATTGCAACATTTCTTCCATCTGGTTTCCTAGTTTCACTTTTTAGTCCATTCCACATATAACAGCAGCACAGCCTCTAAAGCTCTGCTTATTATGCCTTCTGCCTACCTCTGCCTACCGCCCACTTGCCTCCTCTGATATCACTCCCTCTTCCCATAAAATGGTCTCTTTCAACTTTTCACACTAACTTAAGTTCTTTCTAGCATCAGGGCCTTTTCACATTTCACTTGCTCTTCAGTTTTTCTGGCCTACTTTTCCTCAATGTCTGGATCCTTCCCATCTTTCAGTCTCAATAGGGCCTTAGGTCATCCCTGGCCACTCCAACACTGGGGTTGAGCTCTGTCTGGCCTTGGAACCAAGTTTGCTGGTGGATTCCCAGTCAGGACACATGCCTGGGTTGCATGACAGGTCACCAACTGGGGTTGAGAGAGAGGCAACCAATGGATCATTTCTCTCCCTCTTTCTCCCTCCTTTCTCCTCTCTCTAGAAAATAAATAAAATTGGGGGAAAAAAACAATAGATCCCACTGGTCACCATCACTCTCCATAACATCAAACTCTTTGCCTCTGTCAGTGCATTTACCACATTTGTAATTGCTTTTGTTTATTCATTTGTCATCTGTCTCCCATGATTACAAGCATCAGGAGGGCAGGGTCAATGTGCAGTGACAAGCATAAGGCTGACACATAGTATGCATTCAAAAAATGCACTGTTGAATAAATGATTATGTCAAATCCTCTTAAAATATTCCACTGAGATTTTTATTGGGCTTGTAGGTTAAAGGCAGGTTATTGAAGCATCTTCAAAAGTGAGAAAAACCATTCTAACACATTTTAAAAAATGACACTCCCTCTCCCCAGCAGATTGTGAGCAGAACAGTATCATGACGTAAATGGTGACTGGGAACACTAATCAGGTTGGAAGAACCCTGAAACGTGGGTGGCTGTCTTTTCTTCCCCTTCACTAAGTAGAAAACAGAAACTATGGAAAGTGAGGTAACGACTCTGAAAGCAAACACTTGCTGTTACAAAACAGGAATTTCAATGGAAACAATCATGAATCCCTCCTGCTTTGTTCCAAGGACCATTTTTCTTCTTTCCTCTTAATTCCTCTTTTACCTCTGTATCTTGGGGTTGGGGTAAAAATACTTGCAACCTCTTCAGAGTCGTTAATCTCTAGACGCTCATCATATGTCTGGTTCTCAACAATCTTGGTCTAAGCAAAAGGAGACATGATTACACAGCTCATGTTATGAGATATTAACCACTCCGTGGAAAGGTGAGATTACAAACCAGCACTGGTCCTCCTCCTTACCCAATGCATCATTTTTACATGAAACTTTCACCCCCATTCAAACTTTCCTTAAAGCGTCTTGGTCCTAGGTCAAGCAGTTAAGTCAATCTGCTGCAGCCCTTATAAAGAAACTGCTGACAGGCTGGCTGAAGGAGGGAATCGTGGAGGGAAACAGCTAATTTCTGCACCAGCTCCCCAAAGCTCCACCAGCGGGTGGCATAACGGTATTCATCTGCAGACGGGCGACTCTCTCCTCAGGTTATGCCAGTTTTCCCAAGGCTGTAGAGGTTTCTCCGGGAAGGCTGTAGAGGCTCTAGAAAGAGTTCCGCCTCTGGAGTCACCTCGTTTGCCGGAAAACAGGGGATACTCCAGTCTCGCGGTCCCATCCAATAATCTGAAAGCATTACTCTCACGCCCCCACCCCCCATCCCGCACCCTTGTCTTGCAGGTCAGATCCCGAAGAAAAACAAGCGGGTGGTGGCGTGAAGAAAGGAAAGAAGGAACCGTTGTCATGGAGATAAGAAAAGATTGGGGGGCGACTGGAAGAAGGAAAGGGGAGTTATCTTAATTTCCTCTTGGGAAGGAAAAAGGCAGTTCTCTTTCTGCTAGTATGAGTACACACTACCTGTAGCCCCTCTGAATCCGTCTCCTCTGTAATGAAAGAACCCCGGCCTACGGCTGGGGTCTCACTCGGATCTCCGGCGCGGCCCCGTCAGGGATTCTACCTGGAGCAACCGCCTGTTGTTAGTCGCTAGGTATAAATAAATAAATAAATATATCGTAAAATCGCGGGACTTACTTTCACTCTCGCGAGAACTTCTCTACTCCCGTTTCACGGGTCTTCCCGCTAAGGCCCCAAGGATCTAGAGCGTCTCGGGAAGAGCCTTTATGGGAGGTCAAGTCGCTTGTTTGTCTGTGGTTTTAGTAATTGCGTTTAATGCGTTTTTGGCGGCATCCCGCGGCCACGGGTAGCAAAGCTGGGTGATGAATTTAGGTTCTTGTAGCTAGTTAGCTCTTCAATCTGAAAATACTTTGTGCATGTTCCTCCCTAGGAGAAGTACCATTGGTCATGCATTACCTCTAAATCAGTCTAATCAGAATTTAAGCAAAATCTCTAAGGAATAGTCCCACAACTTTTTTTTTAGCATTTATATTTCTTTATAGGTCTTCCCCTGCACGATATTCAATGCATGGGACATACTTACACTAACAAATTATTCGTTATTTATCTGAGGTTCCAGTTTAATCCGGTGTCCATATTTTTATTTGCTAAAGAAGATTGAGGCTCTTTAGGGAAGAGTCTGTGTCTCATCAATTTTTAAGATTTTCAGGCCCTGGCTGGTGTAGGTCAGTGGATTGAGCTCAGGCTACAAACCAAAGGGTTGCCATTTTGATTCCCAGTTAGGACACATGCCTGGGTTGTGGTCCAGGTCTCCAGTATTGAGGGAGTACGCGAGGCAATCACACATTGGTATTTCTCTTCCTTTCTTTCTCTTTCTCTTCCCCTGTCTCTAAAAATGAATAAATAAAATATTTTTAACATAAAATAAATCTTATGTACATTAAAAAAAGATCATAGTGTCAATGCGTTGCATAAATTAGGTGCTTTAAAAATACTCATTGGATAGTTGAATAACTGAAGAAGTGAATAAAGATGTAAGGAACAAATATATTTTTAAAACATACAGATATAGTTGCTTTTGGAAGTCAGAGAGAGGGAGAGAAACAAAGACAAGAATATTGGGGATTTGACCCTGAAAACCTGCCAGAGGAAAGCGGCAAAGTGTCTTTAAAAAGGAAGATGAGAAACACATCTTGTGAGACACTTCTGGTTGAAAATGGAACTGCAAACATACAAATTTTTTGTCACCCCTACTGGTGTGGCTCAGTGGATTGAGCTTGTGACCCAAGGGGTCCCCAGTTAGATTCCCAGTCAGGTTACATGCCTGGGTTGTGGGCCAGGTCCCCAGTAGGGGGTGTGCAAGAGGCAACCAAACATTGATGTTTCTCTCCTTTCTCCCTCCCTTCCCCTCTGTCTAAAAATAAATTAATAAAATCTTTAAAAATTTTTAATTTTTGCCCTCTATTATTTCTTATAATAATGACTATGTATTACCCTGACTGGTATAGTTCTGTTGGGTGGGTGTCTTTCCACAAAGGGAAAGGTTGGTTGGAATCCTGGTAAGGATGTATGCCTGAGTTGTGGGTTCTGTCCCTGATTGTAGGAGAGGCAACAGATCACATCAACATTTCTCTCCCTTTCTTTCTCCCTCCCTCCCCTATCTCTAAAAATAAATAAAGTTAACAAAAATAATGAATATGTATTATTGAGCACTTTCTATGTAGGAGCACTTATATTACATAAATCTTATCTATTAATATATTACTTATTTCACAACTTGATGAGACTGATGTTGCTGCCAATTTACAGATTAGTTAATTGAGGCTTAGGAGAATTAAAGGAACTTGCCTAAAGTCACTCAGAGAGTAAGTGCTAAAAGTGGGAGTCAAACACAGATCAGCCTAATTCCCAACTATATGCTTTTAATAATTATGATATACTGCCTCTAAGGTACTTACAAAGCAGGCCTGCAGGGGTGCCTTTCTTATACAATTTAATTCAGTTAATGTCATATTTCCAATGAATCCGTATCAACTGGACTTTGAAATCTTTTGGTCCACATTGAAGGCCCTGGAAGCCTTCAAAATAAAACAATAATTTCAGGCATAATTTTTACTTTTAAAAAAAATTAAGAACTTGTTTGTCCTTTTAAAAAATGTGTATTTTTATAACAAAAGTAAATAATGCAGTTTGACATATGAGTGTACCCTTTCAGACATGCAGCCTTTTACAATATGGAAGCTTTGTAATGATTCTACTAGAAAGCCACTGGAGATTCGAAATGAGTAGGAGTGAGAATTCTATACTGCAGTGCTTAAGAGTATAGATTCTGAAGTTGAACCGCCTTTGTTTCAATCCTAGCTTTGTTGCTCTCTTGCCCTGAGACCTGTGGTAGACTAGTTTTCCTCTTTATACCTTATAAAATAAAAATATTAATGTTTCCTTTTTATCTCAGAGAATTCTTGTGAGGATTAAATGAGATAATCTGTATGAAGTAATTAGAGTAATGCCGGGTATATTGTTCTTTTTTTAAAAAAAGATTTTCTCTATTTAGTTTTGGAGGGGAAAGGAGGGAGAAAGAGAGGGAGAAACATCAGTGTGTGGTTGCCTCTCATGCACCCCATACTGAGGACCTGGCCCAGAACCCAGGCATGTGCCCTGACTGAGAATTGATCCAGTGACCCCTTGCTTTGCAGGTGGGCACTCAGTCCACTGAGCCACAGCAGCCAGGGCTTTTTCTTTTTAAAAATTTATTTATTTATTTATTTATTTGTTTTAAGAGAGGGGAAGGTAGATGGAAGTGGGGAGAGGGGGGAGGGAAACATCAATGTGTGGTTGCCTCTCATGCACCTTCATCTGGAGACCTTGCCCAGAACCCAGGCTTGTACCCTAACTGGGAATCCAACCAGTGACCCTTTAATTTGCAGGCTGGCACTCAATTCATGGAACCACACCAGCCAGAGCATTTTCTTTTCTTTTTTTTTCAAATTTTTATTTATTTATTTTTAGAGAGCGGGGAGGGAGGGAGAAAGAGAATGAGAGTAGAATAAGGCCTGGTATACTGTAAATGCTCAGTAAACATTATGGAACACACAGGAGATATAGAGAAGCAGGTGTGTCAAAATGAGAAAAGCTGGGTTTGAATCCTGGTTCTCTATCCCTTACTAGTTTTGTTGAGTCTGGGCAAGTGCTTAACTTTCTTGATCCTCAGTATTTTGATCGAGATTATTGTAAAGGATAAGAGATAATATGTATAAAGTACCTTACACAAAATAAGCACTCAATAAAAGTTTGCTGTTTACCCACTATTGTAGCAGGGGGCAAATGGTATAGAGTTAGCCATGATAAAATTATATAGGGAAGTAATATAGCGAAGAACTGCTGAATCATGTATGCTCTAAACCTGATATTTTCCATGGGAGAATTACTGTTACCAACAAAGTCAGAAGACTGGATTTGACACTTGTCTCCTTCATATACTGGTCTAGAACTTTGGGCAAATTTTTTAAAATATTTTATTTATTTATTTATTTTTAGAGAGAGGGGAAGGGAAGGAGAAAGAGTGGGAGAGAAACATCAATGTGTGATTGCCTCTTGTGAGTCCCCTGCTGGGAACTGGCCTGCAACCCAGGCATGTGCCCTGACTGGGAATCGAACCGCGATACTCTGGTTCACAGGCCCGCGCTCAATCCACTGAGCTACGCCAGCCAGGGCTTGGGCAAATTTTTTAAACTCGTCATCACTTTAAAAAAATTTTTACCTGCGGACATGTTAATTTATTTGAGAAAGAGGGGAATGTAGAGTGAGAGAAAAATATCAGCACTGGCTGGCGTAGCTCAGTGGAATGAGCATGGGCTGCAAATTAAAGGGTTGCCAGTTCTATTCCCAGTCAGGGCACATGCCTGGGTTGTGTGCCAGGTTCCCGGTAGGGAGTGCAAGAGAGGCAACCACACACTGATATTTCTGTCCCTTTCTTTCTTCTTTTCCTTCCCTTCTCTCTAAAATTAAATAAATAAAATCTTAAAAAGAAAAGAAACACCGATAGGCTGCCGTCGAAGCCACTGGTTCAGACACTGACTGGGGATGGAACCCACAATCTAGGTATGTTCCATGACCAGTATTGAACTTCCAAACTTTTGGTGTATGGGATGATACTCCAACCAACGGAGCCACCTGGCCAGGGTTTGTCATCATTTTCTTCACCTACAAAATGAACTGTAGCACAGTAACTGCCCTGATTCCTGCACACTTAAAAAAAAAAAAAAAAAGATGTAACCAACTCCAGAACGCTTCTATCACTCCAAAAACAAACTACATTCCCCATTCCTCTCCTCTCCCACTTTCTTACAGCCTTCTAGCTCCATGAATTCACCTATTCTGGACATTTCATGTAATGGAATCATACAAGATGTGGTTATTTTTGTGACTGACTTATTTCGCTTAACATAATATTTTCAAGGTTTATCTATGTGTATAATGAATCAGTATGTTATATCTTTTTATGATTCATCATTTAAAAAATTTTTTTCCTTCCCACACACCAGAGAGCTTGTCCAATGCTGAATTACAACACCAGGAGCCACAGACAGATTGAAGAATGATCCAGGGCCTGCAAAATGACCCAGCCTCCAACCTCCTGGGACCCTGCCATTAAGATCGAGGATCCCACTGTTAACATTCACTGGATCCTTGTGGTGGCTGAGGTTAAACTGCTTTGTAACTGCTTGGGCCTCCACACATATTTCTGAAATGTGCCTTGCATTTATAGCTTACCTCCCATTATCATTGTGGGAAACCTCATGTCCTCAGTATAATTTTGTTTTCTATTCACTTATTATGGGCATCTGGATTGTTTCTACTTTTTGGCTATTATGAATAATACTTGTATAAACAATTGTGCACACTGTTTTGTATAGACATTTTTTAAATAATTTTATTTATTTTTTAGAGAGAGGAAGAGATGGAGGACAAGAGGAAGAGAAACATCAGTGTGTGGTTGCTGATAGTGCGCCCCCTACTGGGGACATGGCCTGCAACCTAAGCATGTGCCCTAGACTTGGAATCCAACTAGCCACCCTTTGATTTGCAGGCAGGTACTCAATCCACTGAGCCACATCAGCCTGGGCT